CTATCTATCTATCTATCTATCTATCTATCTATCTATCTATCTATCTAAAGCAGATAGTACTTTTTGAGTCTTTTTTATCCCAATTTGGTGCTGGAGTCCTAGGGAAGTCCTAGATAGCTGCCAGTTTTTCAGTCTACGTTGGAATCCCAAAGAAATATGTTCTAACACGAGAGAAGGAGTGGCTCGGGAGCAGGATGGATGAGCTTGCCAGTGAGAATGAGGACAAGCAGGCAAAAAGCAAAAGCTTCCTTCTTCCATGGTCTTTTATGTTGGCTGCCACCAGAAGGAGTGGCCCAGATCTCAAATGATCCAGATTTAGTTGGGTCTTCCTAGCTTAAATAATCCAATCAAGAAAAATCCCTCAAGTGTGCCCAGATGCTTTGGTTTTAGTTAATTCCAAATTCAGTCAGGTTGAGAGCCAACATTAGCCAACAGCCTGGGTTCTCAGTATTTAACCCTTATCAGCCAGGAACTCACTATGCAGATCAAGCAAGCCTTGAACTCACAAAGATCTGCCTGCCTCTTCCTCTGTCTCTACCCCACTATGATTAATGTGTATACCACCACTCTTAGCAGAGGTAGTTTTTTTTTTCCTTTTTGTTTGTTTGTTTTGCTTTTTTGAGACAAGATTTCTCTGTGTAGCCCTGGCTATCCTGAAACTCACTCTGTAGACCAAGCTGGCCACGAACTCAGAGGTCCAGTCTACTTGCTTTTGCCTCCCAAATGCTGGGATTAAAGATATGCACCACACCCAGTGGTGGCTACTTCTTAATGCTGTTTGCACACAGTGAGATAGATGATACATTTTTCTGTGACCTCATTTCTCCTTTAGAATATTTGTTAGACAATTAGCCAACTTTTTACAGTACACTCTTCATCTTTAATAGAATCCCAAGACTGCCTCCTTTCCAGGCTTGCCTGCCTGTCTGTCTGTGTAGGTCATTTGGTTCTCGATGATTTCAGTTGCAGATGCCCTTAGGTTTTCCAGCTGGCTTAGCCAGAGCCTCACGTTACCCCAGAACGCAAAGGGCTGATAAATTCATACTTGTTCTCTTGTCTTGGGCTGTGACCAGTAATATTTACTTTTTACTTAATGGACTAACTCTAAGCTCAGAACAAATCTCCCTCTGCAGTGTCCACTTATTTCTGTAGCTCTTAATCATCCAGATTTCTCCTAGCTGACATACATGAGTTTATATATCTTGGCATTTCCATTATTGATAGATCTTGACATATAGCATGTGATATAAAAATTAACCTGAAGCACTCCCTCCCATTAGGACAGCATCACTTAGCATTTGAGTCTAGTTTGTGGTTTTCTTTGCTTCTGATATTGACAATAAATGAAACAAGCATACAAGCATACAAGGGAAGACACAATGGAAGGTCAGCTGTGCAAACCCTGGAGCTTATATCCCCCTTCGTTTTGCAAGCCTTGGGTATATCTCAATTTGTAGTCTCATATAACTCCCACAGTATGATCAAGTACATGTTTCCTGCCTGGGGTTTCTATAACACTGGCAGTCATTTCATAAAAAGAAGGCAGACTAGAGCTGCTGAGTGTTTTATTCAGTGATGTCTCTTGTGACATTTGTTAGTACCTTTATTATAGTTGTTTTTAATAATTGACCTAACTCCTTGGTTTAAACTAGGATCTTTTAATGGTATGTACTGTTTTATTTAGCAAGATTTTTTGCTAATAGTATATGTAAAAAGTCTGTAAAGCTGAACCCTAGTTTTAAACTGTTCATTTAATAACTTGGGGAACTTTCGCATGATATTGAATTGGCCTCAGGAAAGCCTGTGTCCTCTCTAGGCTAATGACAGTAAATGATGGCATAGCCGTGACAGCTACTTTGGCAAAACCTTGTCAGTCTCAAAACCATTTTGTTTTTTTTTTTTTCAAATGACAGTTTGCTTTTATCTTGATTATCTTGAGTTTCAAGGGAAGAAGTGGACAATTTGGATAATTAAGCAAACGGTAGCATGAAAGCATTCTTTTATTAGTTATAAATATTTTTTTGCTTGTAAAAAGGTAGCTGTCAGAAACACTAATCATTGTAATTTCTTTCAATATAGTACAGTACATATGTTCTTAGTAAAGTACTAATGAATATATAAAAAGGAGTAATCAAAAAATGAATGTTTTGTTTTCCCTTCAACAAAACGATGTGCTTTTTCCTGGTCATGGAAAGCCATTTATATGCCCCGGTTTCAAAAGAACTACTTCATTGTGCTTGTTCCAGAAAACCCCAGGTTTACTCTGTACATGGGGGTCCTGATTATGTTTACCCAAAGCCAGCATGACTTTCCTGTTCTGATAATACTGGGGAAGGGCTGCCGGAAGAGCAGTGGGGGTGGATTTAGAAATATTGGCTATTTTGGAAGGTCCATCAAGTCATTTAAACACTATTTCTGACCCCATTTTTCTCGAGCAGGAAAAGCTGATTGACATCACAGTTTGATTTTTTTTTTTTTTTTTGGAGTCATCCAAATAGTGCTTATGTCCCTCAGGTTGAGTTGCCACTTTTGAGAGGAAAGGGGTGCTCAGTGCTGGTGGCTCTTAGAAGTAGAGGGTGCTAAACAGGATATTAGATGTCATCAAGAGAATGTTGGAAACCTATTATTATAAAAAAATATCCTTTGGGGA